TCTTTCCCTCTCTCTGCCTCTCTCTCTTCACCCCCTCTTCTTTTTCCTTTCTCTCTCTCTCTGTGGCTGTGACTCGGCCCCGTTTCCCGCTTTGGCTGTGGCGCAGGGGGAAGTGTTTATATGGGGGATGATGACAGAGGTCGGGTCGCGCTAATGGGCCAGTGAAGAGCAGCGGAGGGAGGAGAGGCGCAGAAAGACGCGCACTGCACACAGGAGCGAAACACACACACACATTTATACACTCGTTCCATCACCAATCAGCAAAGGTGTGCGCTCGTTCTCTCAACCCGGCACGCATGCACCTCCTTCTCTACCCTCCTTCCTCCTCCCCCTCTCTCTCGCGCGCTCTCTCTCTCTCTCTTCCCCACTCTCTCATTCCGCACTCGCACATCCTGCGCCAAACGCCAAACTCCGTGCGTCCTGACATCTGAGTTGACTGTCAATCTCTGTCTCCTTCGCAGGGATATCCACTCCGTCTCCGACCTGCAGCACTTGGAAACTATTTTTTTTCATCCAAAGTTCCGACCACAGAGTGAACACGAGAGCGGGAGCCCGATCTGGGTCAGCAGCAGCAGCAGCGGTGGTGATTTTTGTTCTTTTTTTTTTTTTTTTTCATTTTTCTTCTCCTGTTTCTGTGGTGTGGAGAAAACAGGCTGCAGCCCAGGACGAAGGATGCCCCAAAAAGGTGAGTCTATGACCAAACTATTATTATTATTATTATTATTATTATTATTATTATTATTATTATTATTATTCAGCTGTAATGGTTGGGGCTCGGTGTTGTAGTTTCTCAGCCCCTGGGTCGGGTGTTTTATTGCGGCCGTGTTGCTTTTAGGGCCCGAGGAGTTTAACTGTTTACTAATGACAGCAATGAATTTAAAAAAACAAACCAAAAACGTTGAACCAGACGGAGCAGAAAACTGATCATCACAGTGGACAGTGGTGCGTAATGACCCGTGGAGGAAAAGGGTGCAGGTCAAACCTGTCACTCTTTAACAACCAGAACCTCAGAAATGTGTGTTTGGTGACTGTAAGCTGCTACAACCGCTATTTCAGAAACTGCAGTATTATCGTGTACCTGTAGTGACAGGGTTCCACGGTAGGAGTGAGGACACCAACTCATCCTGCATGTCATAATGACTGGGAGACTAGTTGATCCACTGAGTGAAACCATGCAGTTTTCCAAGTGTAACTTAAAAATTGTAGTTTTAACATGTACTCTGAAAAACATTCTATTCATTTATACAGTTTATTCCTGACAATTGAGGCCCATTTAGTCTGTTTCAGAGACTTTTTAAAAAATATATCTAAACTTAAATAAAAACAAACAAACAAACACTTGGACACGTACGAAGTCAAGACATTAGCTCCACCTGGATGTCAACAGTTTAAATGCTCTTATGCTAAAAGATAAATTACAATTTGGTGGATGATGTTTATATTTATTCATTTTGTTTCACTGCTTAAATTCAGCAAACCTCAGTCTGTATTTAATTATTAACCATCCATAAAATACAGAAAACAATCTGAAAGAATTTATACATGTGACCAAAATATCGTCTATTTAAGTATCTACTTAATAATTAACATACTTATTTACTGAAAGAATTTATACATGTGACCAAAACATCGTTTATTTAAGTATCTACTTAAACATTAACATACTTTTTTTTTTTCATTTATTCACTTGTTGGCCAACGAGGTAAAATTATAAAATTTAACTTACATTTAATTACCGTAATGAATTAAAAAAAATCGAACGCAGTGTACGATGATAATAATATATATATTAAATATTGACCTGTTATTGATTTATTATTTAATGCATATTTCAATTAGGATTTGTTGTATTTTTCTATTCCATCCAATACAATTAAATAAATGAATTTGAATTGTGTTGTTATATTTCAATTAGGATTTGTTGTATTTTTATATTCCATCCAATACAATTAAATAAATTAAATTGAATTAGTTGATGACGCGGGTTGGGCTCCAACCTGTTGGTGACTGATTTCAAACTCATATTCAATGATTTAGATTTTTCTTTTTCTTTTTCTTTTTTTTTTGTCATTCCTCTTAAACCTGAAGCCTTTCTGTCTCTGTAGCCGAGCGGCCAGAATAAGCATGTTTGAATTAAGACCTTGTTGTCAGGGATTACCAAAGGAAAAGAAATGCAGATTAGCTCGCATTATTTCACCGCAGGAACAACAACGTTTGAGCTTTCGACCTTAAATAAATGATTAACCACTCAGGCCTTACACACACACACACACACACACACACACACACACCGATCGGAGGTTGCTAACATCGTACAAACCAAAAAGGATTTATTCATTTTTTTTAATTCATCAAATCGGGACGTTGGTGTCAAGTCGGTGATTTAATATCATCTTGTTTTAGTTGAGTTTATGACGATTTATGTTTCAAAACAAAGGCGGACCGTGGGCGTCGGTGTCACTGTGATGGAATCTGAATGTGATTAATGACGCGCAGTCCTAAGAAGGGAATCAAACCCATATCGGCGTTATCTGTGTTGGGTTTATACACGTCCAGCAGCAGCAGCATTAGCAGCAGCAGCAGCAGCAGCTGTAGCAGCAGCAGCCTCTGTGTTTTTTTCCTCCTGTCTGCTCCCAGCACAACTTCGCACAGAGTAGGAGAGAAAAAGCCGGAGAAAAACTTGAGACTTGTCCCTCGCGGGCCCCCTTTTTATCTGCTGCCTGCTTTTCAATGGCTTCTTTAACGCATTTGTCTTTTCCAATTGAGCGCCCCGCTGCGCTGTTGTCCGCCCGGAGCCCGCTTTACAACCCGCACCAGCAGCGCAAAATAAGCACCAAATATTTATAACAAGAAATTACTTCTTACTCCAATTCTCTGGCCTTTAAAAAAACACGGCAACGGTAAAATAGAGAGAAAAGGAGCGACACAAAAAAGGCGACACATTCACGCAAAACAGGCAGCAGCGCGGTCACGGTCGTGTGTGTGTGTGTGTGTGAGAGGGAGAGAGAGAGAGAGAGTGTGTGTGTGTGTGTGTGTTTGAATGGTCCCGGAGGGGGTGGATACATGCCTCCGGCCCTTTGTATTAATCTGAACTTGTTGGTGTTTTTTACTGTGTGGAAGTTCTCTCTCTTCTCTCCCTGTGTGTGTGTGTGTGCGTGGGTGTGTGTGTATTCGTGTTACACCCGCGGAGTAAATTAAGATATAAGGATGTAGTAAATAAATAAAAAGAAAAGAAAGAAAAAAAAAGTTTAGGAGGCGGCACAAGAGGAGAAGAGGAGGAGAGAGTTTTCTAAATATATAAAATCCAGTATAATGGCCGCAAAACACAGTTAAAGTTACAACAGAGTAGCAAAGACAAAGATAGTGTCAAAAGTGGACAAAAATAATTCAAAATTAATATATAGATAGAGAGAGAACGAGAGAGAGAGAGAGAGAGCTGGATAGGTCTGTCATTCATGTACTGATTATTATCTTGTGAATTATTATTGTTATTTCTAGACTTTACTAACAGCCCTTGTTAAGGAATACATGGATTCAACACATTTGACAAATCTCTTAACGATTAAAGTTATGTTTTGTGTGGGAAAGGTAAAACATACTAAATAAATACTACCAGTTTCCGGGACTATATTTTCATCCAAACTCTGTCCGAGTGTAGGGATGAGCGAAAGAAACGTATCAATCCGCCCAAGAGCGATGTCCTGGTCGTAAAAGTCCCGTTTCTGTGACGTACAAGTTATTCCTGAACCACAAAACACCAGAAAAAACGACACTTTCCGGTAGTTTCCGGCGTCACTGGGAAGAAGTGAACACGTCAGCACCGAAAAGAATCAGTGGATTAAATGATCTACTCTGTAGACAAGTGATTATCCCGGGCGCAAAAGATAAACAAATAGCACTTTAGGAGCTACTTAGAAGAGAGAAAGTCGAGTACTAGTCACAAAAGCAGCATCAGGCAGAAGCCAAACATCACACACGTCACATAGATGGAAAAAGCTGGAAATGGTCTTGTTTATATTTAAAATTAAACGTCTCAAAGTACAAATTGTGATGAGAAAAAATTCCCCAGCACCTTGTCACATGAGTAGAAGTTCCCGCTAGTCCATATTTCAAGTACTTTTTAGCTAAAATTGTGGTTGTAGCTGTGGTCACAGACCCCCACAGTGCCTGGCAGCAGCAGCAGCAGCAGCAGCAGCAGCAGCATTAGGGTTCACAGTGAATCAAAGTGTTCCAGTCACATTAAGTGCATCAGTAGCTGTGGCTTGTGCTAATGTGTTGTTCTGCTCTGTCCTATAGGGAGACATTAAGTAGTGAAAACGGCAGATGATTGACTAAATTGTTAGAGAGAGGACAGTCAACTCTGTTACCAGGCAAGTTTAACTGGAATACTGTGCACGTACCACTCAGGACCATTGATATTATCACTACACGCACCTATAGTCAGGGTTCATACAGCTTTTCAAGCACTTTCCAGGTCAACTTTTAGACTTTCCCAGCACCTTAGAGCTGTGGTAAATGTCACTTTAGACTCCTTCGGAATAATTTGTTTTTAAAAACAATTGCTTTGCCATCTGTTGTTAAAAAAATTACATCAGAAAATTGAAGAAAATTTAAAAATTTGTAAAATAAAAATAAAATAAAAAAAATCCAAGGATTTTCAAGTATGAACCCTGCCTGTTGTTTTTGCGCTGAATGCAAGTTCAAAAATAGAAGAAAATGTATTTTGCCATGTGTTTATATGTGCAGTATTTTTTTGGTGTGTTTTTGATTTGGTACTAACCCTCTTTGTTATTTTCCTGTAATACTCAGAATACCACAACCAAGCCACGTGGGAGTCTGGTGTTGCTTCAATGATGCAAAACAGTAAGTCTTTTACTTATACACGTATCTACATATCCATGTTTCTGTGAGTTAATTTACTGCAGCCATTCACGTGACTGTGTGACAACAACACCCACTGACATAATCTCACTTTGGTTTAGTGCGAAATATACCATATTCCTGTTTATGAATACAGAAAAAACTGCACTTACAGTCATACATTTGCATGATATTAAGGTGGGGCAGGTGCAGTATGTAAAAAAAAAATCTTTCAGGACGGGCAGGTGCAGTATGTAGAAAAAAAATCTTTCAGATGGTAGTTTATTTGCTGTAGGTCTCAAAAATATTGTTTTGAAGATATTGGTTCTCAAAATCCAGGTCACGGTCCCATAAATGGCTTAAAAGAAACATTTTTGTGGTCATAATATTAGAGATTTAAATTAAATATATACACATTTTAAACAAAAAATGTTCCAGAAGAACTTCTGATCAAGATAGTGTGAAATTATTTAATTTTACGTAGAAAATTAGGTTGAGATCATCAAAACGCAGTCTTTGAATAAAAAGTTGCTATGAGAGTGTACAGTTAATCACATCTCCTGCTCCTTAGAGACAAAAAGGACGATAGAATATAAAGATGATTGGACTGAGATGGACGGCAGATTTTCTTTCCCCCCCTTTTCTGCTTGAGTTGATATTAAATAATTGCACAGCCATCTGCATTAGCATTACAGCCATGGCTGCCAGGCTGCATATGAGATTAGCTTCAATGAATAGTAAAAAAAAAAAAAAAAAAAGAAGAAGAAGAAGCAGAAGAAGCCCTGCATGAAACATGAGGAATAGCAATAGCTCCTTCTATGCAGATGACTCCCTATTCTTCACAGACCTATTCTAATGTAACCACTGGCCTCACTGCATGAGGTGCAATATGGGAAATAAATATTAACAACCATATTACGTGAGGTGAAAGAAGTGACAATTTAAAGCAAGCACACTTGTTTGAAAATTACGTTTTGTTTGTTTGTTGTACCTGGTTTGTGTTGTTGAAAAAAACAAAACATGACGCATTTTCCTCTCTTACTGCTGGACAAGAGGTGTATGACTTCTGTGATGAAGGTGTGTGGAATGATTTTATTCTAATACTCTCCATATACCTTGATGACGTGTCTGTGCTGTAATCTGTGCACATTTAACATACCCAAGGTGTGGTTCCAGGTCCGACTGTGGTACCTAGGGATATTTCTTGTGGCCCACACATTTTGTTTTTCTGGCTACTTGAGTTTCTTGTTTATTTTTGTTGGCGATATATTTGTTATCTTAGTTATGTCTAGATTAACAAGCTCACCCTTTGGCTAATTTAGCATTTTTATTATCCCCCCCCATTTTTGTCATTTTATTGACTTGACTGTCAGATAGTCGAATTGATAGGTTTTATGGACTTCTTGAGTTTTTTACTCATAAACTAATAATCCTTCTTTTCTAATTTGAACTTTTTAGCAACATATTTTAGCTTATGACTATTTCTTTGACAACTTCAAGCTTATATATTTTAAGTATTTTGCTCATTTACTAATATGAATGTTACCTAGATATTGTGTACATTAATAATGTTTGATGAATTCTGAATCCTAAAAGAAGTACACTTGGTATTTGTGTACTGTCCAAAATATATTTAAAGGTAATGTTAGATTGAGGAAAACTTTTATTTAGTATTATCACAAACTCCAGTGCAGAAAAGAACCACTTCTATCCAGTATTATCACAAACTCCAGTGCAGAAAGAACCACTTCTGTGTGATACCTTAATATTTACAGGGTGGAGAATATTTGATCTGACATTCATTGGATTCGTCTTTTATTGGAGAAATGTGTGGGTAAACACACACACATTACCAACATGATGAGACCATGTCCAACAGCCAGTGTCCCTGCTCTGGCTGATTGATGTTAATGGGACGCTCCCCCGGCTCGTCTGCTGCTTATTGCCGCGCACATATCATTGGGCCGCGGCCCTTTGGGTTGTCTAAAGGTCGCGGCGGCCTCGGTGGCTTTTGTGTTAATAACTCCTGGGTGTATATGGATGGGGAGCGTCCAAATTGACACCATATGTTTTCCTATTACTCGACTTGCAATAGAATACAAGGCGCATAATCAACGCCAGCGGGGCCGGATCCACTCGGCGGCACTTGGGGGAATTGTGCCATGATTAAGACTTAACCTTAGAGGAGAGCCTTCTCCCCCTTTAAATGTCATGTCCTTATCTGATAGTTGTATCGATCCTGGGATTTATGTGCTGCCCGTGAATCAGTGAACGAGAGAGGAGCCTGCGGAGCAGCGCTGCGTAAAGCTGGCAGGCCAATCTCAGCAGAAGAACTCCATTAATTCCGCTTAATCCCGGAATTACGAGAGAGCAGGAGGGATGATAACGGGTTTACTGTCAGTCAGGAGATTACACCACAAAAGTGGCCAAATTAGGACATGATTTCAACGACGTGGGTTCATGGTTTACACTTGTTGGGTAGCGTTTTGGATGGTTTGTGTGAAATTAAAGCAGAGTCCGGTGACAAGCCTCAGATAAAGACGCCTGTACAGATTGCTCACAACAGGACCGCAGTGGCTCTGAGCATTTGTTGTCAAATACAAACAAGGGAGGCAGGGGTTGGAGAGAGAGGGGGAGAAAAAAACCTGCATGTCACTTTTAATATGTTGACAATCCATGCGCGTCCTCGTTTCCAGTGGCCGCGCATAGCCCCCGGGCACCTCCGAACCAAGTCTCCCCGCGAGGCTGAAGGAGTAGCGTCCAATTTTGTCTGAGTGATATCCAAATGCGCGCAGAAAGGGTGGTTTTATCATGCTACTATTTGTCGTGACGATGCGATTTTCAAAAGCAGAGCGGTGTCATAAAGTGACATGCCTGCCACAAGTGCTCCAACTGATCTTTTCAATTAGCCTTCCGTGCATGATCCGAGGCGACTTCCGCCCATTTCTAGAAATTAAGCTCAAACTTGACATGCAGCTAGGTTTATTTTAAAGACAAATGTCAGCCAGGCTCATCATATTTTCCCCCTCTTCTATATTTGGAGCTTATTTATTGCTAAGGAGCCACCGCTGCCGGAGTCAATGCAGCGGGCGGCAGCGCAGGGAGAGGCAGCGCAGGAGCGGAGCGCGGATCAGGCACTGCAGGGAGGCAGCTTTGGGCTCCAGGTTTGCGGCATGACTCTTTGTAGAGCTTTAGAGAGAAGCCATGTGATATTGCAGGGATGATAAGTAAATAGAAAATATATGTTTTGAACATCAAACATAAAGAAGGAAAGACTGAAAGGGTGGAGAAAGGAAACGATGCTTTAGAACCAGGATCGAAATCGAACGGTTGATTTTACTCGTGCGTAATTGTTTGCGTTTAGTAATGTTTGTGCATGTTACACATCTTTGCGACAATTTGAGTGAAATTTTTTTTAATTACAATTTTTCACTCATTACAAACAGTAGCCCTGGTGTCTGAAGGTTTAAGCATGTATTTGCCAGCGCGGATGTGGTCTTTTAACCACATTTCTTCAACTTTGCAATGGATCTGCATGAGATTTAATGGTGTACATTTTCACTTATATCACACAGCTGATAAAAAGCTTGAGTTTCTGAGTGTTTAAGGCTGTTTTACTTGTGCGTGATTGTTGCTTTTTGGAGTTTTTACCTCTTTTGGATTAAGCGTTTTACCCACTTTTCCTCACATGACAAGTCACCCGATTGTTTCCTTTTTTACATTTTGAATATTTATCTTAGAAATTCAATCGTTGCTCTGATTGATACAGTGTCTAACGCAGTGGCTGTTTGTTTTATGAAGGACTTTAAGTTGCTTCAGTTGACGCCTTTTACCAAATATAACACATCGAATCGAATCGAGTTGAAAGCTTATACGATTATATCGAAGGTGAATCATTTTGAATGAAATCCGATTTTTTTTGGTTGCATAATTAAACTTATAGATGTAACGTTGATATGGATTGAATGGTTGTTAAACTTCTGCGTAATTGTTGCCTTTTTGTGGCTTTGACCTGTGCGGCATCGGTGGCGTTTTGACGCACATTTCTCTATTGTTTGAGAGGTTTTAGGTCAGAGCATCTGTTGGTTATAAATGTAAAGCCAGTCTGTGGATGTGAGGCTGCGGCTGATGCTGGATAACGGTGTGGTCGGAGCTGGATGCTGCGCTTCTCCACGTCGATACAGAGATGGAGTTGTTTTCAATCAGACTGTACGGTCGATCATTTATAACCAGGAGGAAAATAATTAATCATCAGACGTCGTTGTGTGATCCTCATATTTCATCTAAACCCTGTTTTGAATCAAATTTCCTCCTCATTTAAACGAACCCCCCTGTGTTTGATTTGACCTGATTCCTTTGTGTGCATACTTATACTGTGTGTGTGTGTGTGTGTGTACAAACATGATGTGATGACCGTGATGCTCTTTGTTTCTCTGTGTAGGTCACAGTGGTGTAAACCAGCTCGGTGGTGTGTTTGTTAATGGCAGACCGCTGCCGGATTCCACCAGGCAGAAAATAGTTGAACTTGCGCACAGTGGTGCTCGACCCTGCGACATCTCCAGGATTCTGCAGGTGAAAAGCGCACTCTCTCTCTCCCTCTCTCTCTTTTCTTTCTTTTTTCTTTTTTAAACAGGAACTTGGACAACACCAACTATTTTTTTTCTACAAATAAATAAAGAACGAAAAACGAAAAAAAAAATTCAAAAAAATCAACATATAAATATATAATTTCACGCGCAAAATCACATGCGTTTCTTCTAGAAACACATCTGATATTCTGACCATTTGCAGAGAAAGGCCGATTTACAACGATTTAACCATACTGTAAGACGATGCCTAATGCCTCAATTCAAGGCATATCTTTTGTGTTCATAGACCCATCATGAAGTCCAAGTGCTGGACACTGACAAGGTGAAAATTATTTGAAGCCCATCTCAGAAAATTCATTTCATAGTCGTAAATAATGTATGTGAATTGTCTTTTTTGTTCCCCACATGCAGGTCTCCAACGGCTGCGTGAGCAAAATACTGGGCAGATATTATGAGACTGGCTCCATAAGACCGAGGGCGATCGGAGGCAGCAAACCCAGGGTCGCCACACCGGAGGTGGTCGCCAAAATCGCGCAGTACAAGCGAGAGTGTCCGTCGATCTTCGCGTGGGAAATCCGCGACAGACTCCTGTCGGAGGGGATCTGCACCAACGACAACATACCCAGTGTGAGTGAACCGACCGGAAGTTGTGTGCATGATTTAATTTGCCACATGAAATAACTGCCCCCCCTCACCTCCCCCCTTATGCAGTGGAGGAGGAAAAAGGAGATGTGCATCCATCCAGTGCAGCGTTAGTGCGTCAGAGCGAACACAGGAAGTCGAGCCTGATCGTATCAAACATGACTTCATGTCAATCCGATTGACCGTCTCTAATTATCAATGTGATCATTACAACCGTGAAAAGGATACAAATGTAAACACATAATCGTTTTTCTTAACATTATGATTAAACGATTAAACCAACGGTTAATTTAACACAGTTCACGACAAAAGATGGAGAGAAATAACTACGTAACACTAGAATTCCCAACGGTTATATCAAAATTGTATTTAAAGTTATCAAAAAACACAGAACTACTAAAATGTTTACTCAACGTTAGCCCATAATTATCGACAAGTAAACAAAACATAAACCAAAATGTAAACCACAGATTTCGAGTTAATAAAAGCCTAAACATTAACCAGAAAATGCTTTAAAAAAGACAAAAACAGTTTAAGAATTTGGAGTTAGCCACGACACAGAGGCATTTTTTTTGCCAAATGTTATCAAAAGCTCTTATATAAATAGCTAAACAAAACATATTTAATATTGAGTAAGACAAATAAAAGACGTTTGTTAGCCAGGATTAGCAATTAGCATTACACTGTAAAACGCATTAAAAAACCTCTAAAATAGCTAAACAAAACATATTTAATATCGATTAAATATTTGTTTTAATAAACAAATACATATAAAAGTTATTCTCACAAATAGCATAGAGTTAGAAAAAAAAAGTTAAATAAGTAAACGAGGAGAAAAAAAGCTAATGGTAAGTTAGCCCAGAACTTACCATAAATTAGCATAAACTGTAGTTGTGACAGTTAATAAATCTGGTTTACCGGTGGATGAGAAACGAGTGTCGGTGCCTCCACCGGTGAGGGTGGAGAAGGCGGTGGAGGAGGAGGGGGCGGGGGGTTGAAAGAGTTAAAATGGGGAAGAGAAAGAGAGTCTCACCCTCAACCTCATCTCACGTGACGTGACATTTGTCTTTCAGGTGTCATCGATAAACAGAGTCCTCCGCAACCTGGCGAGTGAAAAGCAACAGATGGGCGCAGATGGCATGTATGACAAGCTGAGGATGCTCAACGGTCAGACAGGAACCTGGGGGAGCCGGCCCGGCTGGTACCCCGGAACATCGGTGCCAGGGCAGCCCAACCAAGGTGAGCCTCAGAACCAGGAGAAGCCTGGGCAGAAGTCTGGGCTACACGAGCGTTAAAAATCAAGGGGGGCGGGAGTGGTGAGGGTTGGGGCAGAGGGGGTTATTACTGTAATTACCAGGAGGACGGGTTGATGTGGACGTGTAGGACCGTAGTCCACCAGGTTGAGGGTCTCCCGTGTCCCGCACATGGATGTGCGTGTCCATCAGTCTGGCGGCGCGCTCGGAATTTCACTGCTAAGGAATGTTTTCCTTCGCACGCAATGATTTGGGAATGATGGGAACACTAAAGTGTAATTGCTCATTAGAGACGGGCTTTTGTCTGCCATTATGGCAACATCATGGCAGGAGGGTGGAGGTGGAGGGCCTGCAGGGTGGGGGTCAGGCTGCGTTCTGCTGAAGGCCCAGCCATTATTATTATTATTATTATTATTATTATTATTATTATTATTATTATGATTAACACGGTACAACTCATAACGCCACGCTTTTAGATTTGTTTTCTAAACAAATTGAATTAAAGAGTGCCCTATAAAAGCAGGCTGTTAATTAAAACAACTAATGTGTAAATTAATGTATAAATGGAAAACTCAACGTATTATATTTATTCAATAATATCATCATTAATGCAGCTGTGCTCCGGATTATTTTAGCAATAGCACAGTTGAATAAATTCGCAATCAATTAACTCGCAATTATTAATCGTGTTTTAAATCACGATATTAATCTTGATTTTCTTTCTTTAAAAAAAAAATACAATCGAGAATTTTGATTTTTAGAATCTATTAAAGCTCAGTTTTATAGTTCCAGAGAACCTGGTCTGGAGGCCTGTGTTGCTACTATTACTGTAAGGATTTGACAGCAGGGATTTGTATGAATCTTTTCATGTTTATATAATGTCATGTAACAACAATAATAAATAGAAAATGTACAAATGAAAAAGTAAGTAAAACAAGACAAAAAGACAAAAAACGCCCCCCCAGAAAGATAAAATAATAATAATAAAAAATAATTTACAAGTTAATTGTATTAGCGCATATAAACTTGAAAATTAGTAAAATCTTTACTCTCAAAAAAATGTTTCATATAACAAAGAAACAACAACAATAACGATGCTCAGATATTAGGAAGTGACGTAACACTAAGACAAATCGTTATAAATTATTATTGCTATGACAACGACAGCAATAAAAAACAACAACAGCAACAATAATAATAATAATACAACGACGACGGTGACACACGTGTATCAGACTGAACCACAGACACACAGTGTTTCGTCCACAGATTCACTTTCTGTTCTGCTCTCAGATCTTTTCTCCACACTGTTGTGATCTCGTCGGTATCTTTCTCTCTGTTTCTGTCGCTGTCTTTTTTTTCTGCTGCTGCTGCTTTTCCGCCTGACTGGCTGAGACACCGTGATGTAAAGAATGAGTTGATTTCCCAGCGCTTTTTCTAAAGAAAACAAATCCCATCGCAGCGTCACTGGGTCTGGCACCAGGATAATGGCTGCACATTCACACTCCTCTGTGTGGATTAGCTGCACTGAAGCAGCAGAGAAACACACGGCGCTCATACAAACTATAGCAATGAAGAACAACGCTTTGAGTCTATTTGAAGGCACAGGCCAGCGATCACGAACCACGTGGTTTCTGAGTTTATTTCTGAGTCAAAGATGTAAGGTTTCAGTAAAATAACAGCCACTCTCCCTGCAGCCCAAATATTATTTCATTAAAGTAGAACTACCCGAGGATTAGTTTTATTTCATTAAAGTAGAACTACCCGAGGATTAGTTTTCCTTTTAGAACTATAACAAAACATATTAATACAGTTTTTTTAGCGCAAAACAGATATTTCAATATGTATGGATAATGTTTATAAAATTGGTTAAATTTAAGCCACACTGGTTTCTAGAAAAACATTTAATCTTGACCTTAAACCCCGCTAATATAGGGTTTAGGCCATGAAATCTACAGTCACAATAATTAAAATAAACAAAAGAAAATATTTATAAATTATATGCCAGCTAAAATGATAAAAAAAAATACAACGCACAAACACAACTAAAATAGGGCAAAAAATGACAAAGGTAGTTTTAAATCTATATTTACTTGCCAAAAAGACACACGTTGTTATCTATAAAATATCTAAAAGTCATCAAAAATGTAGCCCAGAGTCAAATAAATATAAGCTATAAACTGCCACAGGTAAGCTAGTTTCAGCTAAGTCACAAGAACAACTAAATGTTAGCCAAAAGGTAGACAGTGGCTGACTGACGAGAGAGATAGCTAATGAAATGCTAAAAAAAGCTAAGCTAAATGTTAATTAGCTTATAATTATTTTAATAAAAGTGAAAAGAAAATCTAAATGGAAACTAAAAGATAAAACTGTGGGCCGTATGAAACTCCTCACAGTACCACAGCAGGGCCCCGAGCCAGAGCTTGATGAAGCTTCAGCAGAAAAAGTTGTTCTTTACTTTATCAGTACTTTATCAGAGACAACGTGAAAAGCTCCTGCAAACCACAACAAACTCATCTGCATAAAAAAAAAAAAAAATCAAAACAGAAATGGAGTCGAACTCTTGACTCCACATGCTCAGACATGAGAGAGAGAGAAATTCCATAAAGCTCTGCTCCCCCTGTGCTTAATTTGGCATTAACTCCTCAGTGTGATAATGATGTCCGACATGCAGACACACATTAGTGGAAGAGCCCGCAGCGCAGTGGAGGGACCGCAGAGCAGGGGCCAGTTGAATGGATTGGCCCTTATTTTTTGCTTGTTCGGGGGGTTGCATGTTTTCTTCTCACTCATTTGTTTCCAATTGAGGACAGCAATGGTGAGTGGCGTGGACGTGGCCGCGGGACGTGATTAATGATGCTGCTGGATAAGGGTTAACACAGTGGACTCACTGCAGATCCTCACGGAGCACAATGGCAGAGCACTAGAGCCAGTGCCAGCTCCAGAGAGAGCCGGAGAATCCCTTTGTCATCTCCTCCTCCTCCACCCCCTCCGCCTCCTCCCTGCCTCCCATATATCACACCCACCCAGGGCTCAGTGCTCGTCCCTGACTCTGGCCATAGTTTAATGCTTTCCCTTATACTCCTCCAGGCATTGTATCACTCTGAAAAGCGTCTTCTCCTATTCAAGAGTTGGTGGTCACCTCAATGGCCATACCAACGCCCATATGGGAACCACCATTGATTCAGGCTCCACTCTGGCCTAAAAAAAAAAAAACAGGGGGGAGGTGGGGGAGAGTCAGGGTCTGGTAGAGAGAGAGTTTTAAACACATGTCTGAAAGGAGCTTCGGCACATCTTGTCACATTTCTCTTCACCTTTTCAACAACACACGCCATTGTTGAGGAGCACAGAGCTTTTCCCCTCACCAGCCTGTTTTTCCCACAATATTTTATAAACAGTGCAAGAGCAAAAAGCCCCCCCTGACCCCCTAACTCTTTTGGTATTGCTCCCCCGAGCACAACAACAATCTGCAAACTCCTGGTTGCAGCCTAATAATGGGCTGCCAAAAAAAAAAAAAAAAAAATCAAAGTAGGGCCAGATTTATGAGCCTCGGCCAGAAAGTTCTAGAAGGAATACTTGAAAAGGTTTGTTAAGACGCATCTGTAAAGTGCCTCTAACTGATTCTGCGATTTTATTACCATATCTTTGTTAATGTTAAGGCTAAAAAAATCTCTGCCAGTTACAGCTTTGGGTGGAAACCACTGCTGAATGTGCATGACCAGGTTTTTCTCCTACCAGCAAACTCCACCACTGGATCTAAGCAAAACTGATACACACTTTTGATCAGGTGTATGAGCGTGATTGTCCGGCCTGCACTCCAGATCTGTCATCTGTTAAAATGTCTGGGACATAATGCGCCAATATATGTTTGTATTACGATTGTTTATCGACTGATTTAAGACTGGGAAAGAAACAGCCAATGGAAAAAAAAAATGTCAGGGGATTTGAATATATTTGAAAAGTTTATGTTTTAAGACTGGGAAAGAAACAGCCAATGAAAAAAAAATTGTTTGTGCAATTATTTCATTAGATTAATTTTATTAGACCAATTATTTCACTTTGTATTTTAAATTGGGTTGCGTTTGTTGGCGGTGCTGCTGCGCGACACGCCGATCCATCTGATGCTGGAGTGAAATCAAGTCTGACAGTGGATTTAATGAACAATGTTACTCCAGCATTTAACACCAACCCCACCGAATTAATTACGCAATTAACATAATTGAATGCATATTTCCACTTAAAGCCCTGTTTATTTATGTATTAAACATGTGTGTGTGTGTGTGTGTGTGTGTTGCAGATGGCTGCCAACAACAGGACGGAGCAGGAGAAAACACAAACTCCATCAGCTCCAACGGTGAGGACTCGGAGGAGACACAGCTGCGGCTGCAGCTGAAGAGGAAGCTGCAGAGGAACCGCACGTCCTTCACACAGGAGCAGATCGAGGCGCTGGAGAAAGGTCCGAACACAACTCCTTAAATCAACAAGGTTTAAAGATAGTCTACTCTAAAGACCACGTTCAAACACCCGAGGACCAGCGTTCTCCTTCTGTCACGACTCAGAGTCAGTGATTCAGAAATGCACTACAGTGGAATTTAGAGGAAATCTAATCCAGTTTGGAACCAATTTTAGTTAAACAGTTCATCCAAAATAAATTTGATATATAGTCTTAAAAATGAATATATGGCAAAAATGGTTACAGATAATAATCGTTAGATTAAAATGGGGAAAAAAATGAACTAAAGTTAGCCGTTAGCCGTAGGTAAAAATGTTATGTAATGTTATATAAAAAGAACTAAGCAAGAACATTAGCAAGTATATGTAGCAACAAATGAAAACAAAAAAAAAAAATTCAGGACACAAGCATTCGATGGAATGAAAATTACTAGCAGCTGGCAAATATTAATAGAGTCAAATATTAGCCTAGAAATAGCTAAATGCTAACTGACACGCTTGTCTTCTTTGTGACAGAATTTGAGAGAACTCATTATCCGGATGTTTTTGCGCGAGAGAGACTAGCAGCTAAGATCGACCTGCCTGAGGCCAGGATACAGGTGAGTGCACTTCAACAGAGCAGGGTTAGGGTTGTGGGGGGTGGTGGGAGGGGGGCAGGAGGTCAACAGTCAAAACCTCATTCGTTTTCTCCTCTGTCCCAGGTATGGTTTTCAAACAGAAGAGCAAAGTGGAGGCGAGAGGAGAAGCTGCGGAACCAGCGCCGACAGGCCAACAGTTCTAGTCACATCCCCATCAGCAGCAGCTTCAGCACCAGTGTGTACCAGGCCATTCCACAGCCCACTACACCAGGTGAGTGCTGCTCAGAATGGTCACTCAAAACAACTTCAAGACAGGGGAAGGGGGGTTAGTGATCTTGATTTACAGCAAGAAGATCACAGGTTTGATCCCCAGTGGACTGTACAGTATGTACCTATCTAACTCATTTTCTCATTCATACTGTGAATCTCAAGGAACATTATACATTTTTTTCCTCCACTGATCAATCAGTTGATCACTATAAATTAAGATCACCAATATATTTGTCGGATGGCCGGGCAGTCAAATAAATATTACAATATAAATATATATATATATTTTTTGGCTTTGGTGTTTGAGTTGGCCAGATTTGGCCCACGAGCCACCCGTTGATGATCACTAATCTAATCTGACTTTAGGTGTGAATGTGACTGTTAATGGTTGTCTGTTTCTATATGTGGCCCTGTGATAGATATTGTTCAAGGTGGACCCTGTCCTCACCCAGGACTCCGACCCCCGACCCCCTCATGAGTCTTAAAGACTATAACTGACTGTATATTCTTCCTTTCCTCTCTCTCTCTCTCTCTCTCTCAGTGTCTTTCACCTCGGGCTCGATGCTGGGCAGACCAGACGCCGCTCTCACAAACACCTACAGTGCACTGCCGCCCATGCCCAGCTTCACCATGGCCAACAATCTACCTATGCAAGTAAGTGTAAAGAAAGTCTCCGCGAAGATGTGAAGATTTAATGACATGTTATGATTTAAATCAGTGGTTCGTAGACGATCAAACCCTGGGACCCAACACTGAACTGGAGTTTGAAACTACACCTTACTCCTGAATGAATTTGAATTGATGAAACTACTTGGTGCAGTACTGAAAATCCTAGTACTGTTGTGGAAACACTGATTTAAATGATATCAACAGGCCTCAACACCTCCCTCTAAAGTATACGTATATGTTCTGAATCAGTGGGTTTGTGTAGGAGCAGAACTAAATGAATGTACCGTTCTCTCCTCGTCTGTAGCCCAGCCAGACCTCCTCTTACTCCTGCATGCTGCCTACCAGTCCGCCTGTGAACGGGCGGAGCTACGACACATACACGCCCCCTCATATGCAGGCACATATGAACAGCCAATCAATGACCACTTCTGGTACCACCTCAACAGGTAGGCAGCACATTTATGCTTTCCTAAAATAAACAGCAGGGTCAGAAATTGGAAATGCTGGGGGAGAAAAAAAAAAACCTCAGTTACCCCAAGTATATAGGAATAAACAGCAGGGTCAGAAATTGGAAAGGCTTGGGGCGAAAAAAAAACTCAATTACCTCAAGTATATAGAATGTAAGGATGGGGATTTTCATTGTCTTTGTTAAATCCAACAGGATTCTGACTGACACACACACACACACACACACACACACACAAACACACAGGTTATGACTTTGACACATGAAAACATGGAAGAAACAACCTGGAGTTCAACTATGAATATAGTTTAACAAAAATGAAGCTAAAGGTTAGCTAAAAAAAAACCAAAACAAAACTGGCCAAAGATAACCAAACCTTAACCCAACAATGGTTTAAAATGTAACATAATTACATGTGAGATTGCTAAGAATGAGTTTATAATTACTGTAGATAAATAAACTGCCAGCTTAAAAAGGACAACACGTTTAATTATAGGAAAAACAGTTCAATGTAAGCTAAAAAATATTTCAAAAACTATTTTAAGATATTTTTAAGCCAAGAAAGACGTAAAACATTAGCCAAACTCTGTAACAGTTAGCCAAACGATAACCCAAATGTAACACAATAATGTCTAGAATTAGCCATTTACACAGGAATACTATTTAAAAAGCAGCCAAAAAATTAAGAAAAGTGTTCATCACAAAAAAAGCCTATGAATTCAACAGAAAAAATTTGTTGAAAGCAACGAGCAAAAAATAAAAGCTAAATGTTAGCGAAAAAGAATTAGTAAAATGTTTGATATAAAATATAAAACCTATGCTACATTTGTCATAACGAGTGAATTTCTCTGCTGCGTCACCGTGACGCCACTCTGTAGCCGTCTCTCCTTATTGAGCCTCTTCATGGCTGAAACACATGCATCACTGTCCTTTCACTTTCTGTCATCTTCATGAAAGCGGCCGCTCGCTGCGCCTCATGTCAGTGCCACTAATCCAGCCCACGGTTTAGTTCCGGCCCGTTAGCATGCTGTTACCCACAGCCATATATACAGCTTATAGTCATGAGGAGTTAATCATGCAGAACCACATTTCCTCTGTGCTAAATTGCTAATTAATTTGATTCATTTGCTGTTGTACTCCCTCTGTTTAAAATGCCATTGCCACACGCCGCGTTTATTGAGCATGCAGCCGTTTTTTACTGAGCGCCTGTGCGCAGGGCTCTGGCTCTTCGAGGCTCCACTGTTGTCTACCTGGGTCGGGTCTACGCAGGGAATGGAAGCTAGCCATGTGGCTCAAACTGTGAAGCCGCAGAGGTCGATCAAACGTCCTCTGATGGATTTAAAAGATAATTTAGAAAAAAATGGAAGCTAATGAGGCTCAGTTTTTTAAAGTCTGAGAACTCAGTAGGAAAAGGTTTCTAGTTTTAAGTCTTTTGCCACATAAACCACACGTTTTAAAAAAAGAGTAAAAAAATATGAAAAGCAACTGCAAAAAATAGAAACAAAAAATAGAGAACAGGGCTAAACTTTAGCAAAACAAGGTTAACTCAAACATAATCAATGGAAATGTATAATTCTGTTTGATTGAAAAAAGTTGACAAAGCATGTCTCTATATGACAACAAATAGAAATACAACAATATAAATGCTTATTTTTATTGCCTGAAATTGATCAACTGTTTGATCGACCTAAGTGTTTCTTTTGTGTCTTATGATCCTGTTTAGTGTAAAAAGATGATAAAGCAAAACAGAATATGCATTTCTGGAAAATGTTGCTGACATTGTAAATGTAGTTAGTGACCTATTTCCATTTGTGTGTGTGTGTGTGTGTGTGTGTGTAGGACTCATCTCTCCTGGAGTGTCTGTCCCTGTCCAAGTCCCAGGCAGCGAGCCTGACATGTCTCAGTACTGGTCCAGACTACAGTAGAGACAAGAGCTACTTCTCCCTGTGAGCACCACCTTCACCTTTACATTCACCGTTGAGCTCCGGCAGCAGCGGCGGCGGCAGGAGCTGCATTAGCGGCGACTGCGGCGGCGGCGACAGCCCTTCACACACACCAGGCACGGGAGAGAAGACACGGACTCTGACAAAACGTTTGGACTCTGTTTTCCCATCAGGACTGTGCTCTGTTCTGTCTTCGAACCAGGACTTGGACAAAGAAGGAGACAAAAATCAGTGGACCTGTGTAAAAGTGCCCGGTGTTGAGTTTTAATGGAACAAAAACAAAACAATTATCAATCTTTCTTTCTTTTATTATTATTATTAATATTATTATTATTATTATTATGCATCTACCCCCCAACCTAAGACATTGTTTCCTTCTATTACTTTTCTCTGGTGTGTTAGTGAAAAAGCTCATTTGTATGTTAATATAAAAAAAACCCAAGATCCAGTCCTGATAGACAGACTGCTAGGAACCAGGTTGGTCTTGAGTTTGTGTGAGAGCCACAGGAGGATTCTGCCACGACTATCTTTTCAATCGGCTTATATCGAGACTCTCTACCAGGCTTTGCATGGTCCCCGGACGCTTTTTTTTTTTTGCATATCATTAAAAAAAAGGTGGAGGGAAGACTCTTAACTGTGTCAAAATGAAATATTTATTGATTTTTTATTTCTCACCAGTGGATATTTAGAAACTTAAATCCGACCATCCACTGAGCCTTTGAGGCTACAGGTCACCTGACTCTGACCCCTTCACGGCCTGGCTGGGTGGATGGACTCCAGATTAAGAGCATAAAAATGGAGGAGAACAGGCAGCGAAGTCAGAAGAACCCTGTAATCTGTAAATGGTAGACGGCGTCTTTCGATATAACCCAGCTTGTTTTATGTCCAAATGTAAAGTACTCGTCTTCCCTTACGGAAATCTTCCAGAAAGGTTTCTCAAAGCAAGGTTGTTTTTCATTTATAATCCCTGAGAATATTCTATAAATGTTACATCATACATCATTTAAAATACTTTCTAGGGTCAGGTACAGTTTGTCTCTTAGCTAGAGTTGTATTATAGTGTCCTATGGTCAAAATACATTTTGTGCAACTAGAAATATTTAATTCCTATAATTATGGTTCAACATTGCTTGACAAGAGTTTTAAACCTATGTGTTTGGCAGTTGTTTACGAGTACATATCAGATTTAATCATTGTTGATTGTAAAAACAGACCAAAGCCTTTGTATTTCATCTAGTACACAATGTTCTTTTTTTCTCCAGTCTTGTGTTGCTAAACTTTTTGTAAAAGAAAGACATTCTGTTTCGATGACATTGGCTTGGAGTTTGTGAGGTGGCAGCCACGCCTCGCAGTCTTTATTTATAATGAAAACAGACCATGGGCGGGTTTTCTAGCATCATCTGTCATTTCTCTCTCTCTCTCTTTTTTTTCTCTTGTTTTTTTTTCTGTTTCAGTGTGTTACGTACGTCAAGGTAGAACACGGACACATTACGAGCTTCAACGTCAACACGCTGTCTTTGTTAAATATTTCAATTTAATTTTATTTAAAATGGAGCTTTCTAAATGTATTTTGTGAAAAATATAAAAAAAACATTTTGTACAGTAAAATGTGTCTCAAAGGAAGCGTTTTTTTTTGCCTCTTTAATCTTGTGTCAAATCCAGTTACACAGTTTTGGGGCAGATTTTATAAAATTTAGCCAAAGATAAATCAGAAACTAACCAGAAATGGATGAAAATTTGAAAAATAAATTACAGGCAAAACATATGGACAAAAACAATTCATATGAGAAGAAATCAAATTAGTCAGAAAATGGTTTAAAATTGGTGTTACTTGATGAACTAGCTGATGAGCTACAAGATGGATAAAAGTTCAGATATAACATAAGACTAATGCTCACCTTGTCAAAGGTTAGCCTAAATAATAGTTATATTGCTAAAAATACATCTAGAATTAAACATTAACTGAATGATAAACTAGCATCAGAAATGGCTAATGTTTGGCTAATAATATACAAACAAAGAAACCCAGAGACGAGGGAAGAGAACAGCCAGATTCTTTATAACATGTTTAACTTTGGTTTCCTGGGCCAATCAGAAATGTGAGATAATCAGAGTTTTATGTCTTGTCTCTCTCCAGGCCTAATGCAATTTCACCCCTTCATTTCATTCCAACCAGTCTCTCGCAGACAGAAGAAGCCGAGAGCAGAGGGAGTGAGCGTGCAGAGACACAGAGAGAACATTAATAATTACACACAGCGAATGAAGACGGAATTCAAAATGCAAGAACGACTGTAATTACTGTCTAAATAATACACGGCACGGAGATGTGAAAACATTATCACAGTTTTATTGACTCAGGACTAAGTCAGGCGATAAGAAGTTTCTGCAAAGTTCCGGAGAACTTTGATTTTTGTTATTATAAAACTATGATTTCGCCTAATGATGGAAATTCCACAGGAAATAGAATTAAAAAGTGAAAGTAATTGGCAGAGTGATAAAGTATGCTGCTTAGAAACGAGCAGTGGTGGTGATAGGCTGACGATTAAGAAGTGAAATGGAAGGAATTACATAAGAAGGAAAGATAAGCACGGAATGGCACAGAATTAGTGATGAGAAAAGCCAGAGTGGGTGAGTGAGGGTGGAGAAGTACAGAGAAGGTCCAGGGGAGCTGTAGACGATGACGGGCCTAACATAAAAACTGTGGAGCTGTATGAAAAGACAGGAGAGGTGGAAAAATACATGACGGCGGTGCAAGGAGTGTATTTAGACAGTCAAGGATCAGTGAGTTGTCCAGTTAGAGGTACTGAACTTAGGCTAAATACTCTTAGGTCATAGGTTCGGACCATTTGACTACTAGGTCATGGGCTACTGCTTAAATGATCGGACTTGTTGCTGCAGAATTGCAGTTTTGAATCCTTACACCAGGAGGGCTACGGTGAGCAGCCCCTGGACATAGTAAAAAAGTGCTTTAGATGAATTAATTAATTAATGAGGTGGATCAGATTAGTAGTGAAGTGATGAAAAGATATGGAAAAGTCCTGAAATTAAACACATTGGTGCAAATCTTACATTAAAACCCAACATTCTGACATTCACTCCGTTCATTCCCATTCAGTGTAGAGCGCCACCATTTATAATGAAGCCCACAGCACACAGTGGTGGACACTGCAGGCCCTTTTTACACAGAGATAACAGAATGGTCCCCACCACAGTGTATGAATATTCACGCTCCATTTGCGCCTCCTTTGTGCGGTTTAACATAATTTAACAAGGTCGGAAAAATGGGGATCATTAACACCATCATTAGCTCAGGAGGGTGAGGGGAGAGCTGTAGGTAAAATAACCACACTGAAAAGGTGGAGGGCCGCATGGTGCAGGAGCGGTTAGTGCTCGTGCCTTACACCAAACATGCAGGGTTTGGTTAATTGTTCATTCTAAATTGATGCCGACCGTGAAAGTTAGTGTGAATGTGAGTGTGAATAGTTGTTTGTCTCTATGTTTTGACCTGTAATACACTGGTGAACTGCTCAGACTGTACCCTCCCCCACCAAATGGGGTTGGGTACTCGCCTTTACCCCCTCCACTCCACGGTGACAAATAAAAGTACTAAGCAGTAGATGGATGTGATTGACAGCGGTAGCGTCCAATAGGAGCCCAGTCCTTGGTAACGTCAATAATTGTTTAATTCCTTCTTAAGGCTTTTCTTTCTATACCACTTGGTAACGTCAATAATTGTTTAATTCCTCCTTCTTAAGGTTTTTCTTTCATTTTCCACTAAAGAGATTTATTCTCTTCATTTACATTTAAATTAAACAATATTTCATTATTCGTCAGTTTTTTTTCCAAACACGCAGATGCAGTTTTTAGGCCACAGTTCTGCTCACCTGTCCACCGTCATCTGCCTCGTTCTCTCTCCTACAGCTGTTGAGAGTGAACCAGCGGTGCATGAAACTGTCAGCTAACGGCGCCTCCTCCTGACACGTGCTGCAGATGTTTACCAATGCTGCCACGTTTTACCGGGACAAAATGATATTCAAACTGGCAGCAGCAACAGGCTGGGGAAAAACCAAAATGAAACATTTCATATTTCATGTTGCCGTTTTTCTGACCATGTCAGCGTTTGACCTTATTTGTACCTTAGACTTGTCAGGACTGAGCCGCTCCTCCAGCACACACGGCTGATGAGGTGTGAAACCTGCACCTAAATCCTGCTGCAGTGCCTGCTCACTGCGGACCGCTGGAGTCAGACAGGCTGTGGTGCAAACTCAGGGTCAGTTGGTGGGATTCCTCTAAACACCTACAACCAGTTAAACAGACCAGACAGCAGTCAAATTTAACCTAGGAAACCCAACCTGAGCTCATCCATGGCAGTCACACACCAGAGCTGTTTGGTCTGATTTTATGAGCAAGTGTCAAAGTTCATCCAAACTTTAGGGTGGATTGAACAAGCCAATTCATCAGTGCTTGAAAAAACAAAAACAAAAAACAAAACAGGTTATAGTTTGCTTGCTGGTAAACCCTGGTGTGATTCCCGGAAAATCGGAACTGCATCGGAGTGTACGGTGAACAAAAGAGAGGCAGTGATTTAGAGTTATACTTTTTTTTTTTTATACTTTTTACTCTGTTAATACAGATTAATCATGATTAATTGTGTAATCACAAATAATCACAATTGATGGTTTTCCTGGAAGTGGTGGAGGCAAAGCAACTGTGTTCCTGGGGTCGGTTGCTCTCAGGGGTTGTTCTGTCTGTGAGCTCTAAAAGTCCAGGTGTTTGTTGCCGGAGGTGGCAGATCCACAGGCTGAAGCCACGGCGTTTGCTCCTGGTAACTCCCCCCGACTCACACGACTGACTGTCTCGGACAAGTCCGCAGGTAAATGTAGTCTCTACAAAAAAAGAGAGAGAGAGAGAGAGAGAGAAACAGCAGTTGAACGTTGAGTTGATACCATTCACTTCAGCAATGTTTATTCACACAGAGTCATGTAAGGTTGAAATTGCATTTGATGCTTCAGCACTTCCTTCAGCACGGCCAGCGTGATGTAAAACCTTCTAGCATGCTGCTAAATGCTTCAGAGAGCTTTAGGTCAGTTACAGCTAACAGTGTGTGTGTGTGTGTTTGAATGCATGCACATGCCTGTGTGTATTTGTGGAGGTATACTGTACATATACGCACACAGGCACAGAGTATGAAGTACTGCAAGTTTTTTCTCCCAACTAGGGAGACACTACAAGTTTCAAATTTTTTAAAGCAGTAACTAGAAGTACTAGAGTGGTACTCTCACTCTAGTACTGCACATTATTACACGTCATCAACACAAACTAGAGTGAGACAAATGTACAGACCGGTCCAGGAGACCTTATGTGTTTCATCGATCCTTGGACAGGATTATTAGAGTACTACTAGAAAAAGGAATAATACCTGATCCAACACATATTACTGCTACAAGTTGTTTACAATCACAAAATTTACGTTTACAAAACTGTTCGTTTCAAAGTAATTTCAGCAGCGTTGGTCTTTGGTGCCTTCGCTCTGCAGATGATTAATCCTGAGCTAACACCAGAGTCATTAGAATCGAGCTCAGCTTTTTCCACGGAGCTGCGCTGTACCAACGCATACACAAAGGGCCACTCACGTAAAGCCGGCTAAGACTAATATACTGACTGCTATAAAAGCCTAAGAGCCTGTTTGCCGTACTCTGCTGCACGGCTCTCCTGGAGCCCGGAGAATGGGCCCGCCAGTGGCACTTCACCAACAAAGCCTGAAGAGGCACTGAGGAGGTGAGAGGAGGTGTAGTGTCCCCGGAGTCAAGTGTGAGTTGGACAATGGCGTTGAGGAGCGGGGTTTGATCGAGTGTCTGCGGAGGACGATAAAACACAACGCAGGCATCCTGTGTAGCAGGAGAAGTTAAACCCTGTAATTTGCCCGTGAAAGAATCTGCAGTGACATCTGAAACCTGCTGGTCAAAGCCTGCTCTCCCAACCCCTTCACACCCAACCCCACCCCACCCCACCCGTTCCTACCTACTCCAGCCCTGCCGCCACGTCCGTACCCCCTCCAGACATGCAGCTTTAGGAGAGCCCCTCCACTCCCACAGATACTTATCTTTTTGCTAATCACCGCTGTTTAGGTAGGAGGGTTTAGCAGCGTCCGTGCTAAGACATCAATTCGGGAGGACGTAAAACTCTTCGCGCCTCTAGGGTGGGCTACATCCTTCCTCTGCTTAATGCTGTTTCAGTGGTCAATAAACTGAATGTCGCACACTTTCTTGTTTGATGAAAAGCCTTTAACTTTTTAGAAGCACATTACACTCAACAGGTTTCTTCTGTGGAGCAGATCGCCTTTGTTTGTCAAAGTAAGAGAGAGAGAGGGAGGGAGGGAGAGGGAAAGTGAGAGAGAGCAGAATCTACTTGTCGGGCAAGTAAAGGAAACAAGAGGAGCGGCTTCATGCAGATTATCTGGGGCAGGTGAGTGCTGACACACTGTGAAGAACCTATAATTTAATAAAAGATGGTGGAGGTAGAGTTACACCGGCCTCACAGAGGCCACGATGAAAGACCCTACACTTGGAAAATCACTGGAGGCCTGAGAACCAACTAACCGACATGTGATTCTATGACATACTGTACATCCGTGTGAAAAAAGTTCCAGGTCAAATATATGTTTTATTCAGAAAATGAGTGAAATGGAGATTCTCTATTTTGCCACTTGTGATTTGAGGTATGCTCAGTAGTAGATAGTTTTGATGATGGATTCTTGTTGACCTGCTCCAGGTCTAAGAGATGCCAAAGATAATCCATATTAACAAGACTCCTAGATGACATTGAAACCCCACTGAGCGGCTCACAGTAGAGAAGAATCACTCTCAGCTTGTCCCTTCATCGGGGGACGCCCCAGCGGTCGTCCACTTGGGGATTTGGCAGCAGAGTTTTTACAGCAGATACACTTCCTGACACAACCCAACCTGGGATGGAGGACTGGTTGGTATCAAACCTGGAAACCTCTGGTGGTAGACGGGAGTCTTACCACTGCAACACCATAGTCTGTTGAGCATCTGACAATATTCATCTGTAGAATGGTTTCAGTTATTCACCAGAAGACTTCAACCCAAAGATTTGGTTGTTATTCAAACAATGTAGTAAACATTTCTCTTCTGATTCGGTTTTGACCGATTCTTTTGGTTGCACTCATTCATTTCTACTAATGTCTGATAAGTCTTTAGCGACCAGATGACGGACAGACTGAGAGGCCAGTCTTTTTGAACAAAATCTCTTTTTTTAAAAAAAACCCAGAACTAAACCCAGGTTGACCAGACCTGAGTCAGGTCTCTAAAACTGCTACAACCAGTCTTCTCTGGAAGAAAACACGTTTTTTTTTAAATATCCTAAAAACAATGCCTCATTGTTTTGGACCATAAGGATGTCAGGCTTCTATTTGGACTGAAATATTCAAATTGAAAAGTGTTTTCTTTCCTGATCATCCATTGGCTACAGTAAGTATGAACCTCATAACTTTTTTTGTTGAAGTTCTCTCTGTTTACAACCCAGACGCTCGCCGCCCTACCAGCTCTTATATTGGACGTGCGAGGGCTTCCACGAGCACCGCTCTGCGTCTATCCCTGCCAAACCTCACCTGTGTAACCTTTCGTGTCTTCAGCTCACTCAAGTGTGACTGAAAAAGAAAAACAATGCATTGATCAAGCCTGGACTCAGTCCTGCTTAGTGCACTGCAGCGTAAATGCGTCGGAAAGATGGGCAGGGGAAAAATCAATCACATATACATCACTCTCAGTGGGTGATTTAAAAAAAAACCCCAGAAAGACATCACACCGTTGTCTGGCTGTCACGAATCCATAGGCCTGGCTACACCGTGTCTGCTTGGCTCCGGGCTCTGTGAACCCACTGAGCATGTGCACAGCGAAGGTCAAAACAATCCAGAAGTGCAGCACAGCTTCTCTAACCTTTGAGTTCTGGGGCAGAGGAGAACAATCAATGATGACATCAAAGTTGTTGGGAGGAGCAGACAAACCCAATCGATCGGTTCTAACACGGGGGGAAAATGCAGCCTGGTAACAGCCAGCAATGATCCTGTACATCACTGACGATCACGGCTGGAGATGATCAAAGTCAGTGGAAATCCATAAGCACTTACTTTAAATTCTAATTTGAAGAAGAACATTAAAGAATGTCTAAAATACTGTGTTGGTCAAACTTGATACTATACTTTAAAAAGTTGATGGAAACATTTTCATTTTACAGATGATGAGGTTAGAACTTTACTTCCTGCATCTGGACTTTTCCAGTACATAAAGGTATTTTTTTTGGATTAACTGTGAATAAAACTGCACATATGACTGCGCCTTGTTTTCAGTGGCTACGCCAAAAATGCATGTACATTGGCACTGAATTTTCATGTTGTTTGTATGCACGAGAATTAGTTTCACATTGGTTTTTGCAAAACCTTACACAGCATAGCACATTGATAATTAGTGCTCTCCACTTAATACCTAAAATGGGTAGAAATTATCCAAAGAATCCATGTTATTAGAATAATAACTGGAGGTAGCTAACTAGCTCACAGCTAACAGTTCCCTCTAGAAATGACCCAATTATAACACTTTCAACCATCAAAGAACAAATCCAACTAAAGCCTTGACCAAGTGGTGGTTGCTCCACTAGCCTTGTGATTGGCTGAACAATGGACTAGACAAGTCAAATGAACGGAGGGCAGGATAGAAACCCAGTCAGACACAGTCAGGGACTCCAGTTCCCTACA